TTTGTTATTTTTGTATTCGTTCTACTTCATAGAAAAAGATAACATTGCTTTTTTAGCCTCAAATGTGGACTATATGTCTACATTTATATTATAATTATTATAAAATACTATTCAGAATAATTGTATGTTTGCTATGGTGTTTATTTTTGATAAACAGGGTGAAGTTAAATCTAGTTCTGTTTAGATAATCTGTTTTCAAATATAATGTTTCAGGGTTATTTGCCAATGTTGTTTTAAGATGTTGTTTAAAGTAATTTAAAATGTTTTAACTGGGCAAAATGACCTGTTTGATTAAGATATTGTGTGAACGTGTTGCTTTTTATGGTGGACTAGACCACATTGTGTTGTCTTTTTAACGGCCGTAACACCTTTATACATTTTTAGAAATAAAAAAATAAATGTGAAACTAGTGGTGTGCATTTATGGAAACACACAGAGACAAATTGGCAAAAGTATCGATGACTGGAACTTGTCTTGTCCAAATAAGAATGTGGGAGAATAGGATTTATATGATCCTAACTCAGAATAATCAAAATAATCCCAAAAAAGGGTGTGATTATGAGTAAAATAAGAGTGTATTCCATTAAAAAAAAACAATTTATCACTAAGGCAACAGAAAAATATAACAATTTATGCTCAAATGAAGAGAAATAAACTTCAGACTTTAAACCTCTAACTCTTTAATGCCTGATCCAAGACAAAAGAGAGAAAATGCTTTTTTAAAAACTCTTTATTTGGCCCTTTAGCACAAAAAACAAATAAACACAAATCATTTCTGGATATTCATCATTTATTACTGTATGATAAATCACTATTATTCAGTTTTCAGCCTTCTGCCGGCTGGTATCAGCTTTATCTGACTGTGTCCAACAAAGTTCTTTTTACCTTTAAATGATACAAAACATTTCAGAAACTGTGCTTTTCAGATCTTAAACGTATGCTTTTCTGGGGTTAAACCGCAAAAAAGACAAAACCTTGAACTCCTGACAAGCTTGAAGCCATTTAAATTTCCAAATGACAGCATCTGGTTTTCTTTTTTGGGGCTTTTGGCCATTAAATGTAACACGAATGCTCTCGGAAATGACCGAAGAAGCAAATAAAAATAGCGTCTCCGTGTTTTTTGCTCGGAACTTTTATCCAGGAAAAGTAATTTAGGATAAAAACAAACGCTTTCTGACCATAATGGGAATAATTTAGGCTCTCATATGTGGTTAATAGGTACAAAATCCACAGCCTGGACTAGACTGTCTGATGCAAGTGAGGCGTATCGGCCACAAAGTGATTCATGCCCGTCCAGGAGATTTCAAAGGTCTCTCTGTGGCCATTGACCTGGATCACCTACAGAGAATAAATGGCAGGCCTTTTTCTTTTTTTTATTATTTGGGTTTGTGCGGTGTGTGGGCAGCGGACCTTCTTTTTTTTTTTTTTTTCCTTTTTCCTTGGCATAATCTTTTAGAGACAAAAAGTGGGCTGGAAACGAGGGCAAAGGTACATTTTTTTTCATGGTTTCAGGTCATTTTGACCTTTTGTTTTTGTTTTATTTTTCATTTTTTTCATTCATTTCTACTCTTTGTTTGTTTTTTTTGTTACGTGGAAACAGAGTTTTCTGCCTCCTCTGGGATCCAGAAGCATAAAAACCCAGTAAAGCTGGGGAGACTGACACCTAGTGGTCAAACTGGAGGTAGCAGCTGCAAAGTGAAGCGTTTGTTGTCGTCCTCATTTCTGATCCAGAGTCCAGACCAGCCTCTTTTCTTTAGATTTAACCTCACAAAGAGTCTCTACAGAGTTTCTACTTCTTCTTCTCTGTTTTTTCTACTTTTTCTTCTCTGGATTTTCTACTTCTTCTCTGGTATTTCAAGTTCTTTTTCTCTGGTTTTTTCTACTTTTTCTTCTCTGGTTTTTCTACTTCTTCTTCTCCTCTGGTATTTCTTCTTCTTCTTCTCTGTTTTTTCTAATTCTTCTTTTCTGGTTTTTCTACTTTTTCTTCTCTGGTTTTTCTACTTCTTCTCTGGTGTTTCTGCTTCTTCTTCTCTGGTTTTCGGTCCTTCTAGCCGAGCGTTTTCAGACGAATGTGTTTTTTCTCTGCCATTCAGGCAGGAAAAAGGGCCCTAACTCAAGGGATGAGCCAGCTTTGTGTCCATTCAGCTTAGCAGCAGTTTAAATTAGACACAACGCAAGATTAGAAAGGAGAAAGATGAGTTTAAAAAGGGCGAGAGAGGGAGAGAGAGAGGGAAAGGGGGGAAGAGAGAGGGAAAGAGAGAGAGAGAGGGAGAGAGAGAGGGCAAGAGAGAGAGAGAGAGGAGAGAAAGAGAGAGAGGGGGAGAGACTCCAGGAGGTGCAGTCTGGGTCTATAGAGGGAGAAGAGGTGCATCATGGGAAATATACTGGGCCTATAGAGGAAGGAGAGGTGCATCATGGGATATCCTGATGGGACCCACCTGGATGCACGTTTTTGTGGTGGGAAAACGTAGTTTTTGTGCCACGAGAAGCCAAACACTGAAGGACTGCAGGAGGCCAGGGATGGAGATCCAACCCCGCCCACATCCAAGTCGGCCATTTTGATTTGGTCACCGACAGGAAGATCCCAGGTGATTTTTTAGGTGACTTTTTTTTTTTTTTTTAACCTCGTTAATTAGTAAGTAGCTGTTAAAATAATTTGACATGAATATAATATAAATATAATATACAGTATATATATTTATATTATAAATAAATATATATAAATATAAATAAAAATGGTGCAGTAAACATGCACTATCCTAATTGCATCATGGCAATATAGACATTCATTTAAAAATAGTGAAATTAATCTTGCAAACACTGAATTAAACTCTATCCATAATATTATGTTAAAATAGTGTAATGTTAAATAGGTTTGTAAAATAAGTCCAAACAAGTTTAACCAAAAAATATTTATTTCTCACAATTACGAAGGGTTAGGGTTAGGGTTAGGGTTAGGTTTAGGTTTAGGTTTAGGGTTAGGGTTAGCGTCAGGGTCAGGGTTAGGGTTAGGGTCAGGGTTAGGGTTAGGTTTAGCGTTAGGATTGGGGTCAGGGTCAGGTTTAGGGTTAGGGTTAGGGTCAGGTTTAAGTTTTGGTTCAGGGTTAGGGTCAGGGTTAAGGTTAGGTTCAGGGTTAGGTTAAGGGTCAGGGTTAAGGTTAGAGTCAGGGTTAGGGTCAGGGTTAGGGTTAGGGTTAGGACATCGTTTGTCTTCTGATTTCGTACAGACAGTAAACTTTCGTTTCCACTTCAGAAAGCTGCTAGTCACATGACCTAATCAAAATGGCCGACTCGGACGTGGGAGAAGTCGGACATCCAACACCGACGAGAAGCTGCTGTCGATTCAACCAACGACTCCAGAGTTGTTTCAGAGAAAAAAACAAAGGTTTATTGATTTGTTATCAAACCGATGAAAAAAAAAAGTTATGAAAAATAACATTTCCAAAGGAAAAAAAAAAAAAAAAAAAAGCGACTTTTTCTGAGGAAGCGTCTCCACATCGTCAACGGCAACGAAAGACAACAGAAGAAGAACGTTGGGCGGTAACGTATCGTCAACGGAAGATGGAACCAAAGATGAGGAGGCCAGGTGGCCGGTGACCCCCCCCCCCTCCCCCACCCCCCGTCCTTTGAAGCTCGTCACCACGACAACGCAACTCTCTCTCTCTGATCCCGCTATAAAAAGTACAAACAAACAGAGAAGTACCCCGGCGACGGCAGAGAAGAGGGCACCTTGTATTTGTAGTTAAATATTCATGCAACTTTAGAAACATCTGTGTAGATCTCTAGGCTAACAATACATCTTTATTCTTTATGAATATCAATATGATTCTCCACATTCTGGTTAAAGTATTTCTTTGTGTAAAGTAACAGTTAATAGACTTTGTCATGAACTCTGTCGATAAATCATATCTTCAGTCTGTACAATAGAGGTACTAAAAATTACAACTGCCATGGTATATGTACAATTTACTAGCTACAAAGTACAACGGATAGCATGTAATAAAATATGTAAACAAATTTCTCGTTTTTTTGACAGATAGAATTCACACTTTTCCACGTTGGATTTATTTCCGTACACACGATTTTTAACAGTGTTGTCGTACTGCATTAGTCTCCTTCCCGACACCTCCGTAGAAAAAGAGAACGATAGGCAATGGAACCCAACACACGGTTTCGGCCAAAAGAAGATCAACCCGCCAAAGCAGAGCCTTTCTCCGAGGGGGGGCCGTCCTGTTACCTTGCTGTGGAATTAGGGTGGCATGCATTTTACAATCAGGCGCTTCTCACCGAGAAACTCGTTCCACAAAGAGAGTCACTGTGTCCGCGGGACAATGGGAATATTGTGGTGGGTTAGATGCCAGAGCAAACAAGAGGGTATGAGGTCTGCTCTTTGTTTTTTATACACGGAAATAGTTTTTTATTTTTCTCGTTGCTCGTTTTTCCGGCTTTTTTTTCTCTTTTGCTTTGAGCAAAAAATAATAAGTAGTACACCACACTTATTGTTATTTATAAACCATAAAAATTTGTAATATTTTGACACAAGAGTCCCGTGTGTGTGTGTGTGTGTGTGTGTTTGTGTGTCTGGCCCCTCCTGTTAATAAGCACTACATGTTGCTTACATGCTGGAAATGTGGATTATGAGCCTTTTTGGAATTGACAATCTCACCAAAAATGGGTTTAATGCCAAGGATCACGTAGCTCTAAAAGTCACTTCGGAGAATGGTGCCGTGGAATAGTTCTATACTGACAAACGTCTCTGACCAGATAGAAGTGTAAGGTTTCTAAAGTTGCTATTTAACCTTGTCATTAAGCCTCTGCTTGACAGTTAAGTGTGCTTTATGTTACAGTACATATCAGTTCAACTACTCAGCACAGTATAGAATTATTTAAGTCCCATGTTATACCATCATTTCGTCAAAGCTCCTGGCGAGGGAAGCCGAGGAGAAACCTTCTCCCGGCGCCTTCCCTTCGCTCTCCGGTGCTGGCTAAGAGTCTCACAGTCACACGTAGTACTCCTTGTCCTTGTTTTTCTGTCTCTTGCTGCTGCCTTTCGGGTTCTGCTGTTTGTCCTTCGTGACGGCGCCATTGCTCTGCACCGCGGAGTTGGTAATGTAGTTCCGGCTCTCGTCCACCTGGTAGGAGCCCTCGTCCCTGTTCCTGTACTTATACATGGCGTACAGGAGGATGAGGATGCACAGGGCCGCGGCCGCCACTATTCCGATGACCATCCCGGTGGTGCTGCTAGATTCGCGGACCACTTCCGAGGGCCCTGGGACTCGCCTGACGCCCGGCTCTGTGGGGAGTGCTGTGGGTATATTATGGAACATTGGGGAGGTTATTAATGGGGCCCCTCGGCTCGGCTCGGTGCTGTCTACCTCAAAGGACAACGGAGGCAACGCTAGCTCGGGTTAGCTGGGGGTTTTAACTCGTTTTGCCAGGAGGGTGTGGAGGCAGAGGTGGCCTGAGGTGGGCTCTGGGCGGCGGTTACTGGCATGGCGGTAGTCCTACTGCGTCTGGAGACGGAAGGTTTGTTAGGTCTAACAGTCCTTGGCAAGGTTTGCTTTGTAGTCACCGTGAAAGCGTGATGCGGACGAGGTCTTATTTGTTACCAAGGGGAGCAGGTCGGGTACAAAAATCTTCAGCATCGGTTGGGGCCGGTAAGACTTGAACGCTTTGCCAGAGCCATACCCCGATATCACCAAGCCTTCATCATCCCAATCAGCGCCGCCTCGATCCGACAAGCAACGGGCCCCCGCCTCAGTGGCCTCGGACAGGGACTCTTTGGTGGTCTCAATAATGGTGAGGAGTGGGTGGAGGGTTGAGGGAGTGGGAATGGAGGGAGCTACAGAGGGGTGCGCTAATGGATCCTCAAGTAAATCTGGTGACTAACTCAGCTCCTGCGGGAGAAAAACGGGGAGAGGTGTTAGAGGGAGGCTTCCAGGGGGCGGAGCTTATAAAACACAGCAGGCAACAACAACCACATCCAGGCACACCGACGTCTGACGGTCGGACATCAGGATGGAGGATTCAGAGGTGAGCAGGGAGCCAATAGGAACACTCTGTGGCGTTTGTTCAGAGACAGCCAGCCTCAGGTTCAGCTGAGGATCAACTAAGGATGAGCTAAAGTTCAGCTAAGGTTCAGCTAAGGGTCAGTTAAAGATCAGGTAAGGTTCTGCTAAAGATCTCTTTAGTATCAGCTACAGTTCAGCTAACAATCGGGCAAAGATCAGCTAAAGATAAACTAAAGATCAGCTGAAGTTCAGCTAACAATCAGGTACAGTTCAGCTAACAATCAGGTAAAGATAAGTTAAAGATCAACTAAAGATCAGCTAAGGATCAGCTAAGGATCAGCTAAGGGTCAGCTAAGGATCAGCCAAGTTTCAGATAAGGATCAGTTAAAGATCAACTAAAGATCAGTTAAGGTTCTGATAAGGATCTCTTCAGGATCAGCTAAGGTTCAGCTAACAATCAGCTACAGTTCAGCTAAAAATAAGGTAAAGATCAGCTAAAGCTTAGCTAAAGATCAACCAAAGATCAGCTAAGGATCAGCCAAGTTTCAGATAAAGATCAGTTAAAGATCAACCAAAGACCAGCTAAGGATCAGCTAAGGATCTGTTTAGGATCAGGTAAAGATAAACCAAAAATCAGCTAAGGATCTGTTTAGGATCGGGTAAAGATCAGCACATGGACCTCGTCTCCTGAAAGGGGCCCATTGAAGCGCCCACCGGAGGCTAGCTCCGTTAGCCTTAATTAGAGCAGCCATCCGTATGATCTGCTGCCTCTTCCTGGGCTCCATTGTGCTGCGAAGGCTCCCCGCTCTCCTGTTTTAAAGCTGAATGCTCACTCTGTGAAGCGCCGGCCGGATGAAAGGCGCCGGGCGTCTTTCATCCCCTCCGGATCATCAGAAAGGCTCCCACTTACCTTCGGCTTCGAAAAGGCGGGAAATCAGACATCCGCTAGCACACTAAAGTCCTTTCTCTGGGGATTTCTGATGGTTGAGCTTAGCACAAAGCTGCTCTGTAAACAGGTCCAGACACACGCATATCCACCACAGCATGCACAGAGACTCACAACCACCAGCAGGAGGTTCTCACAGGTGGGAGGTAGGAGGCGGTTTGGGGGGAGAGCAGGGGGCGGGGACTCCGGTTTTTGGGTGGATCCTGTTTTTCCGTCTCATCCGATTTTGTTTTCAGAGCCAAAAAGAACGTTTTTCAGATGAGGGTGCATTTAGAAAAAAGGTTTGAAACCGGACTTTGAGGGTCTTTCGCAGGTTTGACCTCCAGAGAGCAAAGGAGGAAGGAGGGAAGGAAGGAAGGAAGGAAGAATAGAAAGATGGATGTAAGTAAGGAAGAAAATAAGGAAAGAAGGAAGGAAGGAAGGATGGAAAGAGGGATGGAAGGAGGGAAGGAAGGAAGGAAGGATGGAAATATGGAATTAAGAAAGGAAGAAAAGAAGGAAGGAGGGAAGGACAGAATGAAAGGAAAGGAAGGAGGGAAAGATGGAAGGATGGAAGGAAGGAAAGAAGGAAGAAAGGAAGGAAGGAAAGATAGAAGGAAGGAAGGAAGGAAGGAAGGACGGAAGGAAGGAAGGAAGGAAGGAAAGAAGGAAGGAAGGAAGGAGGGAGGGTCTTAAACTCAGACAGATCAGATCAGAAACCTTTTGGCTCTCTGGAGGCTAAACCTCCGGTTTGACCCCGAGCCGCTTCGGTCGTTGCCACGGCAACTCCCGCCAGCCGGTTTCCCGCCAATTTCCCGCCGGTTTCCCGCCTCCCCGCAAACCGCCGTCTCTCTCTCGGAGGTCCGGCGTCCACTTACGTCCACCGGTCGCCCGCGTGAGGCAACAGGGAGAGAATTTAGAGAGGGAGAAGATGGGTGAGGATGGCGGGAAAAGCTGCTAGGTACCGTTTACAGATCGCTAGCTCCACAAATCCACAGCAGGTCGGGTTGGTCTTAACTCTCAAAACAGGACGGTACAGGGAGGCAACAGCACATACACCCACACCACATAGAAAGGAAACCCCAAAACTCTGCTTTTTTGGAAGATTTCTCCTGGTTAAACATCAAAACTCTGCTTTTTGGAGGATTTTTCCTGGTTAAACAAACACCAAAACTTTTCTTTTTGGAGGATTTCCTGGTTAAACGAACACCAAAACTCTGCTTTTTGGAAGATTTCTCCTTGTTAAACACCAAAACTCTGCTTTTTGGAGGATTTCTCCTGGGTAGACACCAAATTTTTGCTTTTTGGAAGATTTCTCCTGGTTATAGAAACACCAAAACTCTGATTTTTGGCAGATTTCTCATGGTTAAACACTAAAACTTAGCTTTTTGGAGGATTTCTCCTGGTTAAACACCAAAACTCTGCTTTTTGGAGGATTTCTCCTGGTTAAACGAACACCAAAACTCTGCTTTTTGGAAGATATCTCCTGGTTATAGAAACACCAAAACTCTGCTTTTTGGCGGATATTTCCTGGTTATAGAAACACCAAAACTGGTTTTTGGCAGATATTTCCTGGTTATAGAAACACCAAAACTCTGCTTTTAGAGGATTTCTCCTGGTTAAACACCAAAACTTTGCTTTATGGAGGATTTCTCCTGGTTAAACACCAAAACTTTGCTTTTTGGAGGATTTCTCCAGGTTAAATAAACACCAAATTTTTGCCTTTTGGAGGATTTCTCCTGGTTATAGAAACACCAAAACTATGCTTTTTGGAGGTTTTCTCCTGGTTAAACACCAAAATTTTCCTTTTTGGCGGATACTTCCTGGTTAAACACCCAAAACTCTGCTTTTTGGCGGATTCTTCCTGGCCAATAATCTGGATTACTGCTTTTCGGCTGATATCTCCTGGCCAATAATCTGGATTACCTTACAAACAACAATACCCTTCTTCGTCTTTTCCTCGGTGCCCTACCCTCTACGTTCAGTTACGTTTTTTTTGCTTGATGGATGGATGGCGTTGTAGTTCGGTGGTTTCTCTAAGGACGGAGGGGGGGGGGGGGGGTGTGGGGGGGGGGTAGGGGGCCTAGGACCAGACTAGGGGGGAGATGAGGATGATGGGGGTGACAGTGTAAGTCAGTTGCCATGTCCATGTAAAGGCAGTACGAAGCGGTCGGGCGGCATTAGTGCCTCTGACTGTAAGGAAGGGATGGGGATATACAAACAATGAGCAATATCCATGCCCATCTACAGAAAAGAACAGAACTCTAACACTGACATGTCTTACAAACCCTAAACTGCAACTTCTTAGCCATGCAATTCACTTGTTTTTTTTTGTTTGGGTTTTTTTTGTTGTTGTTTTTTTTACAGTCAAAGAATCATTTAGCAGGACCGGGAAAGTCCGTCTGGCTGCAGACTGCAGGAGCGAGGAGGGGTATCCGACTCCGCCCACGTCCAGGTCGGCCATTTTGATTAGGTCATGTGACTAGCAGCTTTCTGAGGTGGAGACGAATCTTTACTGTCTATACGAAATCAGAAGATAAACGATGTCCTGAACCTAACCCTAACCCGGGGTTTAGGTTTAAGGATGAGGGTCAGGGTTAGGGTTAGGGTTAGGCTTAGGGTTTGGGTGAGGGTTAGGGTTAGGTTTAGGCTTAGGGTTAGGGTTTGGTTTAGGGTTAGGGTCAGGGTTAAGTTTAGGCGTAGGGTAAGGGTTAGAGTTAGGGTCAGGTTTTGGGTTAGGGTGGAGGGTTAGGGTTAAGTTTAAGGTCAGGGTTAGGTTCAAGTTTAGGCGTAGGGTCAGGGTTAGAGTTAGGATCAGGGTTAGGCTTAGGGTTTGGGTCAGGGTTATGGTTAGGTTTAGGCTTAGGGTAAAGGTTTGGGTCAAGGTTAGGGATAGAGTTAGGGTCAGGGTTTGGGTTAGGTTTAGGGTGGAGGGTTAGGGTTAGGGTCAGGGTCAGGGTTAGGGTTAGGGTTAGGGTTAGGGTCAGGGTTAGGGTTAGTGTCAGGTTTAGGGTCAGGGTTAGAGTTAGGGTTAGGACATCGTTTATCTTCCGATTTCTTATAGACGGTAAACTTTCGTCTCCACCTCAGAAAGCTGACAGTCACACGACCTAATCAAAATGGCCGACCTGGATGCGAGCAGAGTCGGACATCCGGCCGAGGCTCCTACAGGCTGCAGACAGAAGCTGCTCGGACCGGAGCTGGACACTGAGAGGGTCAGCCGGGTCTGGAGCTGCTTCCCGGACCAGCTTGTGTGCTTCTGCGGAGCAGTTTGGGTTTCAAACTACGGGGTTTTTTATTTTATTTGGCTCAGGATCGGCCTGGAGAGCTCAGCGTCGGGGCCCAAACGCACAAGCTGGTCGCCGAAAGGAGTCCCGAACCCGAAAAGAGTCAAAATACAGCAGAACCTCCACCTACGAGGCCTAAACCGACAAATTTACCGACATACGGAGTTAGATTTGATCAAATATTCGACTTTTTCCGACTACAACGTGACGTTGAAGTCATAGAAAAATAAAAAAAAGAATAAAAATAAATAAATAAATAATATATAACAATACATCTAATATATATAAAAATTATAATAATAATAAATTTTAATCAAATCAAATTATGTTTAAAAAATAAGCTAAGTTAGTGAGTTAGGGTATGCCTGTATCTCAGTCTCTACCTGCCAATAAAAACCCTTTTTATTGATTTATTTCTCATTTATTTCTTTTTCCATCTCTCTTCTAGAAGTAATTTGTTTTCTTGCTATGTGTAATTATCTGGAGTATTTATTAAGGAGTTATCGTAAGTTTTTGGAACCAATTATACGAATTCTAGTGTATTCTGACGGGAATATCTGAACTAACATACCAATATTTGAACAAAAAAATGAGTCGGTCCTGGAACCACTTAAATCCGTACGTAGAGGTTCTGCTGTATATAGTAAACTATCTCACATTATAGTCATAACAGTAAAACAGGACCAGTTTGAGCTATCAAATGAAAAGTGTTAAGATGAAAGGAACAAAGCCATTTAAAGTTGTTGTTTTTTTTTTGCACACACTACAACCAGATGCACACAGTAGAGAACAGACGGCGCTGAGGGGGGGGGGGGGGGGGGGGGGGGGGGGCGGCGGGGCGAGTTACACGTGTCGTTTGGCTCGTTTTAGTCGCCCCGCAGGATGTTGATGCATGCTTAATGTAAGTTGCATTTAGGGAAAGTAGAAAAGAAACAGACACAGCAAACCGGGGCTGAAGGAACACCGTGTCCCGATGGTGATACCGGGAGGGCTAACGGGATCCGTGATAGCGCTTTGGGCTCAGGGACGTGCGGTGAGGCTCATGGCTGGAGGTACTGATTTACTAATAAATACACCTAAAAAGGGAGATTATTCAATTGTTTTCTGGATATTTCGTCTCTCGTCAGCGTTCTTCGCACGCAGATGTTAGAACCGGGCTCTAGTTAGGGTTAGCGTATGCTAACGTCACGTAATCCATGAATCTTAAACATCGAATTAAATCTGTAAACGGTCATTTTAAATCTAAAGATAAACCCACTGAGCTTCTATAAAGACTAGTCTAGTTCTTAAGAAGGAAGGAAAGAAGTGTTAGAACTAGGCTCTAGTTCTTATAGTTAGCATGGTATGCTACAACCACTGAGCCTCTATGAAGAAAAACTACCTGAACCAGGACAAAATCTAGTTCTTAAGAAAGAAGGAAGGAGGGAAGGATGGGAGGAAGTAGGGGAGGAAGAAAGGAGGGAAGGATAGAAGGAAGGAACTGTCAGAACTGGGCTCTAGTTCCTCCCGTTAGCATCGTATGCTATCATATAATCCATGTAAACGACTGAGTGTCTTCTTGCTTTTGAACTAGACTCTTGTTCTAAACTCTCTGTGTGTAACCACAGATTCCCTTTTTCTCTCTCTGTTACAGCAGATACTCGTCTTTAAGGCCAACACACACACTTTGTTACCACATTCTGGTTAAATCCGCGTGAATTAGCAACTGGCCTGTTCCTGTCAGAGCTAACTAGCCTATAGCTTCCTATATGTCCCTCCAAGATGGATTTGGGGGCTGGGTTACTTCACCTGGGACCAGGAAAGGTGGGATTAGTCCTCTGGATCTGCTTTGGTTTGTTCTCAGGCTTCCAGCTAAAGAATCGGATTGAAGCTAATCTTTTAGCTCCGACGTTGGTCTTATATTGTTACCGTGTTTTACGCACTATGAGGCACCTAAAAGCCTTCGATTTTCTCAAAAACCGACAGTATAGCTTATACAGCAGGACCTCTACTTACAATCACCTAAACATACGAAGTTTCCAACATCTGAAGGGAAATTCGAGAAAAAATGTACAACATACGTCAAAGTCGTAGAAGAAAAATATTCAAAAATATATGTAAAATACATCAAATATATTAATACGTATAAAAAATGTTATCAAATTAGACTAAATCAAAAAAAATAATTCAAGCTAGTTTATAGTTCCTGTCTAAAGTCAGAGTGAGTTAGGGTTGGTCCTGTATCTCAGTCTCTGAGCTAAAGGGCCAATAAAAACCCTTCTTATTGATTATTTCTTTATCATTAATTTCTTTTTCCATCTCTCTTCTAGAAGTCATTTGTTTTCTTGCTATGTGTAGTATTTATTAAGGAGTTATCGTAGGTTTTTGGAACCAATTCTAGGAATTACAGTGTACTCTGATGGAAGATTTGAACCAAAATACCAACATTTAACATAGAAGTCGCTCCTGGAACCAGTTAAACTCCTAAGTAGATGTTCTGCTGTATGTCACTAACAAACATTAAACGTTGATGGTTGAAGACATTGGCCAGACTGGGGTAAATAAGGGTATATAAACGTATATACAAACATTATATTGGCGACATACAGCGATACCAGCCCAGTTTGGGGTGGATTCACCTGTGTATCAGTTTATATTTGAACAGGAAACATACGCAAATTCAGCGATTTTGACTATAAAAATGTATAAGTGGACAGATATTGATATTAATTTAATGTTGTCTTTGTTTCTTGCCCATAGTGCCTCCCCTGACCGCACGTCCCTGCCCAGGCCAAAGGTCCCGCTGTCCTCGGTTGATGTTCACATCGATTTGCCGAATGCAATCGGGACACGGCTTCATGGAAAATGAGGAAAATGAGGTAAAAACAAAAAGCGCAAAAGCACACGACCGGGTGGAAGCTGGTATCCCTCCAACTCCAGAAAGCAGCCAGTGGAGGCTCAAAGTCCGAAGGTTTTCTGTTATTCTGCTGCTAAAAGGAGTTGATTCACATGCGGAGAGATGCCGTCAGCTCTGAGGAACAAAGGACGCCCCAGGTGGACCAAATTAGGCCCCCAAGGAGGCCCTAAGGAGTCCACCTGGGAGGCCAGCAGGAGGCCCCAAGGAGGCCGGTAAGAGGCCCCCAAGGAGGTCTACAGGAGGACCCAAGGAGGACCAAATGCGGCCCCCAGCAGGCCACAAAGGAGGCCCACGGGAGGCCCCCTAGGAGGCCCCCAGGAGGCTCTCTGGAAGCCCCCAGGAGGCCAGCAAGAGGCCCCAGAGAAGGCCCCCAAGGATGCCGGTAAGTGGCCCCCAGGAGGTCCATAGGAGGCCCCAAGGAGGCTGGCAGGAGGCCCCCAGGAGGCCCCTGGGAAGCCCCCAAGGAGGACCCTAGGAGGTCCATAGGAGGCTCTTAGGAGATCCATAGAAGGCCCCAAATAAGCCCTGAGGAGGCCCCAAAGGAGGCCCCCAGGAGGCCCACAGGGAGGCCAGCAAGAGGTCCCAAGGAGGACCAAATGAGGATCCCCAAGGTGGACCAAAGGAGGCCAGCCAGAGGCCCCCAGGAGGGTGGGGGGGCAGAGCTGAGCATCTGGAAAAGCTAAAAGGTAGAAAATGTATTTTTCTGTGAGCTGACCTCTCATTTAAGGTGGATTTATTACAAAAGCTCCACACTGGTCCCAAACCTGTCTCCAAAAGGGGCTCTGATGGAGATTATTATTCATCCAGATGTCAAATCGAAAGCGTTTGAGGGGAGTAAAACGGGAACGGGATACCAGCTTCCACTCACACAGGACTCAGAGTGCTGTCCACATGCTGTCTGTTGTTCAGTGGAGGGGAAAGAACCGGAGCAGTTTCATAAGGCGGCTCACACAGGCTAAAACTACCAGGAGGACACCTTTAAAAGCTTGTTTTCACACACATTTCTTATCATTATTATCATTCTAATTATTTAGTTTAATAATAATAATAATAATGGTGATAAGAATAATTTTTTACTCTTACAGGCTCAGGAGGCCCCAAAGAGGCCCCAAAGGACGCCCCAAAGGAGGTCCATAAGAAGTCCATAGGAGGCCAGTAGGAGACCCCAAGAAGACCCTAAGATGGTTGTTAAGGGCCCCAAAGAGGCCTCATTTCTTTACTGTGCAGATATTTTATATCTAAAGGAAACATTCCAGGACATTACAACTTTTCTTATGCTCTTCAGTACCATATAAACTCTTTTCAGATTGTCTGTTGTATTTTTTATCTTCAATGGCATCTTGCTTTAACTCTACATAAGCTACTGGAACCAGGATTTCCCTGAAATCGTAAATAAAGGTATAAATAAAGTTGAGTCTAAGTCCTGAAGCTGATGTGAGTAACTGATATTGATCATATAAATTGATATATAATGATATTGATATGATAACTCTCTCCTCTAAGGATCAGAGGATGGATTCAAGGCGCCATCCTATGAAACTGCAAGGTCCTCTGATAAAGCAGCCGGGTGGAGTCAGGCAGGCAGCAGCTTCTGGGGGGGGGGGATAAGCAAAGGGGGTGGGGGAGGGAGGAGCCCCCCCCCCCCCCCCCCCCGGTAGGGTGGTCCGACAATGGCGGCTCAAAGGAGACCACAGATCTGTCAGAGGAAACTTCTCATGCCATCTACTCAGCAGGTCGGGAGGCCCGAAAGAAGTGCCCCCAAGGAGGCCCATAGGAGGCCCGAAGGAGGTCCATAGGAGGCCCCCAAGAAGGCTCCAGAAGGCCCCCAAGGAGGCCCCAAAGAAGCCCACAGGAGGCCCCACTGAAGGTCCCAAAGAGGCCAGTAAGAGGCCCCCATGAGGTCCCCACTGGAGGTCCATAGGAGGCCCCAAAGAGGACCCTAGGAGGCCAGCAGGAGGCCCCCAGGAGGCCCTCAAGGAGGTCCCCAGGAGGCCCCAAGGAGGCTCCCAAGGATGCCAGTGAGAGGCCCCAAGGAAGACCACAGGAGGCCCCCAAGGAAGTCCCAAGGAGGCCTCAAAGAGGACCCTAGGAGGCCAGTAAGAGGCCACAAGGAGGCCCCAAGGATGCTGATAAGAGCCCCCCAAGGAGGCCCCCAGAAAGCCCCCAGGGAGGCCCCAAAGGAGGCTCTCAAGAGGTCCAACGAAGGCCCCAAATAGGCCCCGAGGAGGCCCTCAGGAGGCCCCCCAAGGAGGCCAGTAGGAGGCCCCAAAGAAGGCCCCCCAGGAGGTCTATATAGGAGGCCCAAAGGAGGCCATAAGGAGGCCCACAGGAGGTCCATAGGAGGCCCCAAGGAGGCCACAAGGAGGCCCCCAGGAAGCCCACAGGAGGCCCCCATGAGGCCCAAAGGAGGTCCACAGGAGGCCCCCAAGGAGGCCCTCAGGAGGTCCATAGGAGGCCACAAAGACGACCCTAGGAGGCCAGTAAGAGGCCACAAGGAAACCCACAGGAGGCCCACAGGAGGTCCATAGGAGGCCCCAAGGAGGCCCCCGTGAGGCCCCCCAAGGAGGTCTATAGGAGGCCCAAAGGAAGCCATATGGAGGCTCCAAGGAGGCCCTCAGGAGGTCCATAGGAGGCCCCAAGGAGGCCCCCAGGAGGCCCAAAAGAGGACCCTAGGAGGCCAGCAGGAGGCCATCAGGAGGCCACAAGGAGGTCCCCAAGAGGCCCGAAGAGGCCCTCAAGGAGGCCCCCAAGGAGGCCAGGAAGAGGCCCCAAGGAAGCCCACAGGAGGCCCCCAAGGAGGTCCCAAGGAGGCCCCCAGGAGGCCGAAAGGAGGCCTCAAAGAGGACCCTAGGAGGTCAGTAAGAGGCCCCCATGAGGCCCCCAAGGAGGCCCTCAGGAGGTCCATAGGAAGCCCCAAGGAGGCCCGAAGGAGGCCCAAAGGTGGTCCGTAAGAGGCCCCAAGGAAACCCACAGGAGGCCTCAAGGAGGCCCCTAGTGGATGGCATGGGAGGTTCTCCTGACTGGGAGCTTCATGCCACACCTAATGGGGCCAAAATGGCCGTTTGGAGCCAGTGGCGAGCACACGGGAGCAGGACAGGAAACAGCATTGACTTCCCAAAAGAGCAAATAAAGAGCAAATCAACCGAAGCATGCGGCTGGAAAAGGATGTTGGGGTTCGAATGGTGTGAATTTCTGTGTAAACACATGACTGGATGACTGGGGCCCTGTCTTCGTCTTTCTGTTGGAGACCGTTTGAAACCCAGCTACACCACAGTAGTTCACATTCGCTTTGAAAAGCCTCGGGAATGGCCTCAGGAGCTGCGTTTTCGAGGATTTGCCCGGAATTCGTCGGGTTATCCGCACCCAGATCTTTACGCCAATGTCAAAATTGGATCTCCGGGTGAAAATCGACATTTTAGAGGGAATTCCCCATAAAATACAAACATAAAAGTCTAAAAAAAAGGGAATTTAAAGAGAATTTAAAGAGCAGGACCCCTTCAAAAACCAGCTTCCAAATCAAGGAGATTCCCAAATCCTTTCAAAAATGATTATCTGACGTTGTCGAGGTCTTTTTGGGGGGGTTTTAAAAAGATATTCAGATACAAAAAAAGACAGAATAACAAGTGGACTAAAGCAAAAGTGTGAAAAGAATAAAAAAAAACAAAAAAAACCTGTACACAGAAATTCAACGACATCTGTTCTGAGTCAGCAGAAAATGCTGGGAGGGCAACGCAAACGACTCAA